GGATGTGCTGAGAACACTTGCAGCTAAATAAATAAATCTTTTCTTCCATCTTGGCCGTTGTACAAACAGTATATTTGCCACCATAGGGAGGGAGTGTGAAGTGTGGAAGGAGGGGTGTGATCGGGCTGTGGATTGAGACTGAGCACTGTGGTGATGAGGTCAGGTAGGTGAGGACTAGAGAGATCACACATGGTATGTGGGTGAACAACAACTGTGCCATTGAGGAGGGCAGAATTAGAGTAGTAGAGCAGTTCTGGATGGCACATGGCATGCAATGTGAACATTACATATTTACTATTGAAACAAGCGGATGTTTCAGAGTTGCAGTAATGTCACTAACCTGTACATGGTGAAGAACGAAGGGATGTTATAGTCTCTGAGAAGCAGAAGGGTGGGCAGCCAACCTTCTGCCAGACCCTGGTTAGCGTGGAACCCTGTGTTAAAAACACATGTGTGAGATACTCCATAAGGCCCTCGCTGAGACAAGATCAAAGTGAACTTGATTGAGCTGCGAAAACACCGACCAGACCATCAGTTCTCCATTTTGGTAGTTGGTTGGATGAACCTGTGTGAAACAACCTACTTCAACCCAGCCAGAAGTGCACATTAAAAAATCTTAAAGGAACCAAAACGTTATACTTTGGTAGAGGAAGGTGTGTTCATATTGAATTCCATAAACCATAGAAAGAAGCTAATTGCAACGTACGTACCTCTCTGAATAATTTAGCTGAAGGAATTTGACACAAAAACAAAACCAGTCTTTGCAGAGTGAAAAAGTCCGGTCTTCTTCGCCAGCGAGATGACGATCGTACAGATGAAGCTTGATTAGTCACCAGCCGCCATGTCGTCCTCTTGTTAGAATACATTTCCTTCAGGACGTGTCACTGACTGTTTTTGCGGTCAACCTAATTAATCAGTCGATATGAACAAATTCAATCTCGCTCCAAACAAGCTGACCTCGTTCAAAAACTTGCAGCTGGCCTGGAGAAAGGGTGTTCTAGCTCAACCGTGCACCACACCAGCAGTTTCTTAATCCTTCAGCATATTAACTGACAGATTCTCTTTCTCCCTGACTCGGGTTTGTATCAGTAGTATTTTCTTTTTCCTATTCCGAGCAGCAGGGTAGCGTGGTGAATAGCTCGACCTTCAACCAGTGAGGTTCAAGCCACCATGGCAGCAAATACTCTAAACCCATCTGGCTTTAGCATCCTTGAGTGAGCCAAACCAGGCAGCAAACAGAACGTCCCTGCGCTGATTTAATAAAGTCTCACATTATTAGTTTGCCCGAGAGAACGACCTAATCACGGATTCAATTTTAATCGGCATCAAGGAAAAGCTCAGCGTGTGATGAATTCATTAAAAGCGTCAGCTGTTCGGCACATTGTGTGTGTATGGTTGTAAGTATGTTGGGGGGCCCGGAGCATGCCACAGATGCAGAGAACTGTAAGGCACATGATACTGACACACACACACACACACACACACACACACACGCAGATGGTATCATGTTATCCACCGCCTGCAACATCTTTCTGGGGAACTCAAATTGCAGAAAGAGAGGATTTGGACTTGAATAATGCATGTCGCGATACGAACATCCCCGAGGTTACAGTACTCATCATTATAAAACATTTAACAGGGAGTAAGCGTTTAGCCGCTCAGTAGATGAGGTGACAAAGAGACGCTGTACGGTCTGTCTGGTAATGGCAGTGCAATAATGGCCTTGCATCGTGGTGGACGGATGTTAATGGGGAAAAAAAGTGATAGAAGTATGAAAATCCAGTTTATTTCGCGGATAACAAGCAGCCATCAGGAGGCGCCTGTTTTCAATGGTCCATCTTTGTATGGATGGCATTACTTAACCAGCACCCATCTTCTTTGTGAGAGCTGACAGTCGACATCCCTCTCCGTCTCTTATTCTCTTACTGCCAATGTCTGTTTTTTGTTTTTCCACTGCTTTCCAGCAGCCTTTTCCTCCCTCATTCTCATTGTGACTTCCACACACACCTTCCCTTTTTATTCCTTCCGTCACGCTGCCGGCTCCCCTATATCACTTGAGCGGTGTCATAACGCAGTGCTTCTGCCAGCTTTGCGGTATGAAACGCAGCCAGGCACTCAGGCAGTTTACTCGCAGGATGACTAATTCCTGTATATTTAGCTCCAGTGGAGCCTGGGGTGATAGCTGAGCCCGTGGGTTCTGGGTGAGGCTGGGTCGGGGCTTTACGGCTGCTTTTGCAGGTTAAAGGGTCACCGAGCAGATTCTGTGCAAGAGCTTTAGAGGTGTGGGGTTTAAAGTGAGGTGAGGTAACGAGGTGGTTGTTTGTGAGAGAGGACGGTTACATGTCTCTCAGTCTTTAGGCTGTTTGTTATGAAATGGAGACAAAGTTGCCTTTTGTATTGAATTCCAAAAGTATTAACAATATCCATTTGGAAAAATTGAAATTCAGTCCGGAAATTGTGAAATTGTTTGAGATCTGTGATTTTGCCCACGTCTGGAGCTTGCAATGTTCGTCAGATTGGGGGGGGGAGGCAGCTCACTGACATTATGCTGAGTCCAGCAATCAGAAGCCAAACTCTTTCCCAGCTGCTCCAATTAATCATCCAAATCCCCAATAAAAGCCTGGCGCTAATGAGTAGGCCAGAGCTAGTGAGTTACACCTCTCCTGCTGGCTCTGTTCTCTGAAAGACGTGATTGTCAAATGAGCAAAAAAAGAGGAGACAAGTCACTGGTTCTCCAAGACAGCTGACCACTTTAGCTGAGCAGTTTCTATTTATAGCCGCAGTGATCATTATGCTTTTTACTGCTTGATTTAAACGCGCTTTGAGGTGAAAGTCTCCTTTCAACCAGACCCGTCTCAAGATGTTAGTGGCTGTACAATCACATCTCTAACTTGCTGTTTGTTCATGTTTGGCAGGATGTTCGCATGTACATACCGGGATGAAATCCCACCACCAGGTCTGGCTTGGCTGCTTCCTCTTTGTCCACCACATCTTCCCAGAACTGGTGGTAGAGGCCCTTGTGGGCGCTGATGTAGACTCTCTGCCTGGGGCCAAACTCGCTGAGAGGAGGCCTCGTGATGGGGCCGTCCACCACCTCTGGTCCCACCATGACTATCTCTATGCCCTGGTGTTCGGGGAACATGTTGTTCAGCTCATCGTAGTCCGTCGGTCTGGCTGCCATGGTCTCATTGTGAGACGCCCCCGCTATGTGAATAGTAAGCGGTTTAGCATACGGGTCAAGGCCAAAGTGTTGCATGGCCATCCCAACTGTGAGAACTCGGGAGAGGAACTCGCTCTGAATCCGCCATAAAGACTGTTGCAGGTCAGAGTCATCCGGCCTGGGCCTGCTGGCGTTCGTCCAAAGGGTTACCATGTTGGCACCAGGCAAGATGGCGTCTAGATGTGGCGTGAGGTCCCCCTGCATGTGAAGCCAGTCGTCCCAATTCTTCACCTCAGCAGCTGGCTTGGACCACTTCTCCGTGGGTAGGGGGAGGTCTCCTGTGTGGGTGGCAGAACATTTATGTGACACAAAGTTGAGGACGCAGATTAGTGTCGATTCTGTATGGCAAGTTTACATGGCGTTTGAAAAGCAATCAAAGAGTTTCAAAGGCTGGGGAACTTTAATTAAAATTTCAAAAAACGCACCAGTATAGCACTGTGACTTTCTGTCAGTGTTTGTCTCTCAGGCATTTTCATTTCTGCAGCTCATCTTTAAAATATGTCATCTCATTAATGATGATGAATGTTTTTTTTGTGAACTCAAATAGCTATCAAGGCGTTTCAGTTTCAACAGCACCGCCTTCTCATTTCTCACCAGTGAACATCAGCCACTCCACTAATCTGTCAATGGCCACCAGGCGTAGCATCTTGCAGACCTTTTTATGCTGAGGCCAGTCCTTTCTCTGACAGTCTTTGGTGCAGTAGTAAACATTCAGGCACCTGTGAGAGAAAGATGAGGGTAAAAAGCAACGCAGGGAAAATAAATGGAAAGAAACGCAACGCAAGACATAAAAGTTGAACAAAAAAAAAGGAGCACTTTTAATATGAACAACTTTAAAAGGTTCATTGTGCAGGATTTTGGCGGTATTCAACAGCGAGGTTACAACATTACTCCTGCTAAACATCAAAAATCTAGCATTGTCATTGTGAGCGTGTTAGCATGCTAACGTTAGCATTAGCTCAAAGCATGGCTACGCTCAAGTACAGCCTCACAGAGCTGCTTCCATGGCTGGAGAAGGTTCTGTTAGAGGTTAAGCTGAGAGGGAAATGTCTCCAGATAGATGGAATCTGGAGGAACTGTTAAATTATAATGTGAGTAAAATTGTATTGGAGAAGTCTACATTAGTGACGGATTGTGTCGTGTAACAATTTCCTCATCAGCTAAGGATCATAATAAAATCCTTTATTAAGCATTTTAAAGGCGAGTGTATCTATGTTTCATATGTTACCCAGCTTAATTTCCTCTTAACAAGACCTTTAAAGGGGTTTCATGTATTCAGCAATATATGTTTCTCTCAAAACAGATATGTCAAAAGTTGAAATCACAACAGTTATACTCCTTGGAAACTATGCACTCAAATCCGAATTTTTACCATCCAAACTGCATTTTAAGTATTCATCTCCCTTCATTCATGCAATTTAAACTGCGAAGCCTTCTATAGCCCTTACCAATCTCTTACAATCTTACTTTATATCAATAACAAAGGACCCTGGGAGAATAGGGATGACCCCCTTTGATACATTGCTGGTGTTTTGCATTTGATTTGATGATGATTTTGTGTGATTTTGTCCATTTTTTCCCATTTTATTGATGATATGATGTCATGATTTTGTTAATTTTTCCATTTTCCATGTTATTTTTATTTTTTTTACCAAAATATAAACTGTATCAAATCTCTGAGCTGTCTGTAAGAGTGTGGCGGTACTCACAATGTCAATTTGTTTTTATAATCTGGTGGTCATTTTAATCCAGGATATATGGTTGAACACCTCGAACACAAATGGTAACGTATGGTATCGTAAACTTCTAAGTACATTTAATCAAGTAGTTAATATATAATAACGTCCCAGTGACAGAACCTGCCAGCGTGTACTGTATTTTTTGCTTTTGACAACTAGGCAAATTTGACTTATAATATTTTTGTACTTTCACAGAAGTAAACCTTTGAAAGCACAATGTTCCCCCACTGCCCTTTGTTGGCAAGTCCCCCAAACACACACCCTTATGAAATCACAGATTTAAACTCTGCAAATAAAGTCACCATGTGGAGAATCATTGCTTCTTTTTTAATAAAGGACATGAAGGTGATACGGTTCCCCTGCACCTCTGTGTTCTATTAATATGGTAATAGTGTCTAGATGCTAGGAAGGAAACCATCAAGATCCTTGTGTCCTGATGATTACCTCTCACCGCCGAGGTTCAAAAATAGGGATATCAAAAAACTCTATTTAACACAAATATATTCAGGGTGCTACGGTATACACCGACATATGTCCATGCACGCAAACTCATGACACTGAAGACGAATTCTGTCCTGTTTTGAAGACAGCTGGTCAAAACAGCCGCCTTTGGTAGATGTTTGAATTTATTACTGTTTAAACGACCTCTTTGAGCGGATGTGGGCTTCTGTGTTGTCACAACGTTTAAGTGGCGAGGTAATGTGTTGGATTAGAGGTCTGACAGCCAGCACCAGTTGGTGCTTTGGGACACTATATTACTTTACCTTGCAGTCATTTGCAGCCTTCGAGGCGCACACATTTACATAAAATCATTTATCAGCCTACGTGTTCTGTCCTGGCACACTTTGTGTGTACTAATCCTCCAAAGGAAGCTTACAAAGTGAGAAAACACATGATCTTGAAAGGTCAAGCATAACACACCTCTGCGGAGACGCCTCAGCTTTGAGAGCAGGAAAAAGATGTGAATCAGAACGAAAAAAGGTGATGGAAGGTCACAAGCAGGCACTGTTGGGACTAATGTTTGTAATTCTCTGATGTCAAAGGTCTTGAGGGTTTTGAGGGAGTTCTCTTCATCTGCTGCTACTGGTAACGTTTCTTAGAGAGGCAGTGGCAGCTGAGAATTTCAAGGAAGACACATGCAAGACAGTGTGAGTGAGCGCGTGTGTGTGTGTGTGTGTGTGTGTGTGTGTGTGTGTGTGTGTGTGTG